GAGATGGCTATGCGATGCTAGGGTACTTTTCGTAGCCGTGACATGGCCGTGATCCATATCATATATCATCTGCATATCGAGAGCACAGCACATCTTGTGAAAAGATTTTCTTGCCCGGAGCGAAACGTTAGGCGAGCTGCCAGATATGGGCTATTGTGTAGAGCCTCATGTCAGACTTTCGCGCACATCATTTCGCAGAACATATTCGTTACCTATGAGATCAACGATACGCTGCCTCGAAAAGCGACCAGGAATCCATATGCAGCGATGCCCGCTCAGAGGCACGAAAACGCCGCACTAGCGACCACCCTGCTGTGACTTGTGAAGCTTAGAATCAGATTTCAGAGGCGTCAGCAAACCGTGAGTTCAGAAGCCAAGACCCGCATGAGGTGCACCGTTGAGCGCGTGAACAATGTGAGCACAATGTTCTCAGTGTACAGGTGGATGATCTTACCAGAGCTCAAGTTCCGAATGTCGCGCCTAGCGTTTTGCTCTGAGCTATCCAAAGACCGTGCGTGCATCGGCCATCAGTGCGCTTCAGTGGGCCGTATGAAAAAATTGACTGATGGCGACTTGACAAAGTCTGAGACGAGAGATGCTGGACTGGCAGTGAACCTGACCGTACCGGGGAGCTCGGTCATCTCAGCAGCGTCACGCTCACACAGTGTGACTCACAGCAGAGGTGACGGACGCATCACCTCGTTACTACTAGCGTCATGTTACAATCGACGTTGAAGACCCCTGCCACCAACACACGGGGGCTTCTTCTTTGCTCGCGCAGCGGCGGCACGCCCATCAAACAGCTACTCAACGCCCCGCCACGTCGCACATCGTGTGCCACTCCGCCCTCGACCCTTCTCGTGCAAAGCTGTTCGAGGGCAAATGACTGTGCAGTTAGCGCCCGCCGGTAAGTCGCTCTTTACGTCAGCTCGCGACAGACTCTGAGACGAGATCCTTCTCCCCATTGGTTAGCATTCCGAATTCGGGCGCAAAGAGCCCACTCAATTGCTCTCGGCTGTGCCGACACAATATACCGAGGATGCAGACGAGTTCGGACAATAGAACATGCGCGCTTTTATGCTTGCACGCTTAACTAAAGGCAGCTGGCCAGTTGCTTGGCTCGTCAGTGCGTCTCGTTATGTGCATTGTGACGAGCCAAAGTATTCTGTGTCAGCTTTGAGCTTGGGTTCGGTTCACTGTGTGGACAAAGGCCTGAGCAATCATTCCCAGGCGCTTTACTTATCTGCCAAAATCGTGGCCTGGCCATGTTGAGTGAGCCCCCGAAAGCTCCTTGACGTTCCCTCGGACACTGAGGAGGACGTGGTTTTGAAGGACAAAGTAGGCAGGCATTGTTCTCATCGCGTCCAGTTATGGTCAATGGCTGAGATTAAATCCTGTTCTCGGCTAGCCTCGGAGTGATCTGACCTAGAAACGCGCTCTTTAGCAATCGGTCCGCACCCTGCTACCACATCTCCACCACCCCCTCGCACTCGCCTCACATCCTTCTGCATCCACATTCCGAGATCCTCAGCTCTTTCATTATCTACTTTGCATCGTCATATATACTCAAGCAAGGTTGCCGGCTTTCGTGCGTCTGGTCCACTAGCATTGCTCGCTGTCTTGGTTTTCTCAGCATAAGTAAGCCAGTGACCTTTACGTTCTTCACACTTTTTAGCTTTTCACGTATCTCAATTGGCTGATAAAATCACAGCGCTTGGTCTCAGGCCACTCGCCGATCCCTCTCTTCCACGGTATAAACCTCAGCTCTCATTGGCCACGACCTCTCACCTCGCCTCCACCTCGCTGCCAGCGTTTCTGTCTCGGCGAAGGCCACAAGCTCCACCGGTTCCCCTCAGATCCCTCACGTCCTTTCTCATATTCGTACCTTCTGACCACGCCTTGTACCACGACCACAAACCGCCATCCCATCCACCACCGTCACCGACGCGCTACTTATCATTTTCTGTCATCTGGCATCTATCGCAACCCCTTCCTGTCCATCGTCATCATTCTATACTACCCCATCGGCGCCGTCGCCCCTCATGGCAAGATCGTCCCGCGGCAAGGCTGCCTCCACCTCTAACCCCGCCACGATGAATCGACAACCATCACCGGAGGACCGTTCAACTAAAACGAAAGCAGAACCTCAGCTGGCTCCGGTGTCGAAGAGCTGCGGCCACGCAGAGTGCCAGGAGCGGGGCTTTGGGCTCCAAGAACCGTATACTGGTCCGAATTTATTCAAGTATCCGCCCAAGCTCGAGGATGGCGAACTGCGGACTTACAACGAGAACGACAAGAAGACTGTGACGTTGGAGGGAATTCCGAAGACGCGAGAAGCAATCAGGACGCTCTACCACAATGAGCGTATCGTACGGAATCGAAATGTGGTTCGGAACTCTCAAATCGACCCGGTAGTGATCACGGATGCGGCTGGAAATGACACAGTGCGTGATGCTTTCTCGTGCACTTGAAACAAAATCCTTGATATTTTCTAGGTCTTCTGCCCAGCGTGTTGCTATTTTCCCCTGAAGGTCGATGAGAGCACCTACCGGGTCGTAGGCCATGGTACGAAAGGCGATTTCAGACGTCGCCACTGCGTGACTGTGGGCCATATGGAAATTCTTGAGCATATCTTGGTGCTCAAATTCGCTCTGTGCCGCAGACAGTACAAGTGCCCGAACGAGGAGGGGGCAGGGGTTTGCGGAGAGCTGTTCGCGTACGTCCTGCACTCGTACCTCACGAAAGCATAGCGGTCTAATTAGCCATTGCAGTCGCCCTGACGATCTTTCCGGACATATCAATGAAAAGCACCCTCTCATGAGCAAAGCTCATCGTGGGAAAGCCACGACTAACATAGTTCATGACGCTTTCGATGATTTCGTGGACACGCGTCTTTTGGCAAATATGGTAGTCGATAAGGAAGGTGACAAAGAGAATGTTTCCGTCCGTCACCAGAGGTTTGGTGAGACCTCTAAGCATGCTGTTAGCCTAGATGATGTTGAGAAGAACGTGAGTACATCTTCACATCGAGGTAGATCTTAATAAGCTCACTTTTTTGGTAGCTGCGCGTAGGAACTGGAAGTGACTTTGCTACCCAAGCTTCTATGAATGTCGCGTCGGGCTCCGGCATCTCTGCACCGCTCCTCAACGGTCATACTCGGAATGGGAAGGAGCGGGCGGTGAAGAAGCGGAAGACTGTCTATGAAGGCGGCGTCGTCAAACGTAGCCAAAAGACGAAGATCACTGACCGTTCTAGTGGAAAGCGACTTCGGCATACTGATATCGCCGAGCAAGCGATGCTCAAGGTGTGTGGACTTCGCATTCAGGCCAAGGTGTACGAATTCATGGAAAATTTCCAATAGAAGAACACCCAAGATACTAGTGAAGGATCCAGCAAGCCCGGAATCCCCGAGTTCATGGAGACTGATCAGATGGAAGAGGAGGACGTCAGCATGAGGGATGATGAAGTCGAGGTGTTTGGTGAAGACGAAGATAAGGAGGTGGAGTCCGAGGTCACAGAGCACGACCAGCTTGAGGAGCAAGAAGCAGTCGCGTATGAGAACTACTTTGTGAGTCAAGTACCTGTCGGTTCTCAACGCTACCGCTCATACCAGACTCGCATCTTCTCATCACAGGGATATACCGACTTTGAACCAATCTTTGCAAATCTTCCTCGGCTCCCAAAGCCGTCATGTATGGCTAAGAGGGGAGAGTTCCCGGTCCGTCCCTAGCATCTTTTCTTGTCGGTTGCAAATGCTCACAGTCCATCGCTCACAGGATTTCGATGGTGCTATTGCATGCGAAGACAGCGAGTGCCAAGATTGCAAACGCGAAGCGACACCGATCGAGCACGACGTTCCATTTCCTCCTTCTCTTTTTATGGGTGTCAGTTCGAGTCCCATCAAGGCTACAACGTTCAAGTATGAGGAACGCGAATCGACGCCATTTGATCAAGACGTTTTCATGCCTTATCCTGATTTCGTGGACATCACCTCGAACCCCATCGATGCCCTAGCGTCCGAGAACTGGGAACGCGAATCGACTCCGATTGATCACGACGCTCCCAAGTCACCTGCTTCATCCTGATCTTGTGGGTGTCGATTCCGGTTCTGGCCCTATCAAGGACCCGGGCTTGCTCTCCAGATTCCGCCCCCTCGGCGAATAAATACTCTTGCGGCCTCACTGCTCTTCGCAGTCTTTCTGTTGTTGACCATTATCTTTCATCAACAAGTCCTCAGTGCTTCATCCTCTCGACTCTTCATCTCTCCTTTCTCGTCTCCTACTCTCAAATTCCTCATTTCTACGCTCAACGCTCCTTGTACAACGCAACCCCAACACTCGTTCAATTTCCTTTCCCTATGTACTGTTCTATATGACTCGTTAGCGACACCCCTCCGACACAGCGACACACTATCCCAACTCTTATACACATTCCCGCAACGCGGTACCTCCGTTCCCTTCCTGCGATACCTCCACGCCTTCTCTGCGATACCTCTACACCCTGCCGGCGATACCTTCATACATCACCAGCGATACCTTCCTCTCTACCCACATCCGAACCTCTCGCCTTTCTCCTTCCCACTTCGCGTCTGCCATTCATAATCACGAACCCATCTCACGCCCTATCACGCCATGTTTCCATATCTTTCATTCGTATCTGGATTCTGGACGCAACAATCGTACCATATGTTGCTCCTGCTGTATTTTTAGATAATATTTATGCACTCTTACTTGTGTGCCATCGTTCTGTCGCGGCGTTGATTGAAACGAACACTGGTGGCTTGAGGCTCAGCAATGTGGGTCTTATCAACAGTGTGCGTCACCCCAACATGAGCTATCTGACGTACAATACTGACATCGGCAATACGCCTCGCCAGAGCTCGCGATGGTAACGCTGGTGTCTACCTGGTGTCGATGTTGACGTCGAGTCGTGGCAAGGCAGCAAAGCTGGAAACAAGCTTGGATGCTTTTAATATGCTCACAAGTCTGCAATCTACGTGGCCGGGATAGCTCAGTTGGGAGAGCAGCAGACTGAAGGCGTTGACCGTGGAATGAACGCGGTCACGTGTTCTGAAGGTCCCGTGTTCAATCCACGGTCCTGGCATTACACAAGCTTTCCTTCATTTTGGCTTTTTTGCTACCTGAAAGTATTCAAACTCGACAGTACAGGTTTTGGCCCAAGGGTGCAGCAATCCATCGTTGTGGCTACTGCGAAGCTCGTGGATCCACTTCAAGTTTTTGCTTACTTACCTGAATGAACTTGACGGGTTTCCTTCGGAATATTGAGATACCTCAACAAGTAGCTCTCCAAATCCACTGCTGAGAGTCTGTAGTACAGACGCGACGACGCAGACCAGCTGCAGGTTTTCACTTGGAACATCAGATTTGCGTAGATGGATCCGAATAGTGTTTTCTATTCATCTACAAACATACATGCGTGTAGCCATGTCTTGTAATGTCGTCGTCATCTCATCAGGTATTGTACAGAAACAAAAAAACTTATCCACCGTGTATCTGCGAGCTCGGAGGTATAGAGAAGGGGGTATCAACGAATGCAGAGGGTCGAAGCCGCCACTCTAAACGAAAATCGGCGTCCTCGACCCATCGATGCTCTTCTTATAACTGTGACCGAAGTCCCTCAAGCCCTCCTTCTTCGCCTTCCTGAGCACCCGACCCATGGCATCGAGCCCCTTGTCGAGGTCCGCGAGAGGCGGGCCAAAGGAGAGGCGAACGAAGTGGTGGCAGGGCGAGTCCATGAGGTTGCGGCGGTGCGAGGGGTTGATGTCGAAAAAGATACCGGGGATGACGATCGTTTGTTCTTTGAGGAGTTCCTCGAAGAATGTCTGTCGAACGCACGTTTCAGTCAGCATCATGTCTCAAGAGAAGATACACGGGGTGAGCAACGTACCAAGCCGTTGTTGAGAGGCGCGGGCAAGTGCTCCAAGTTGAGCCAGATGTAGAACGTCGCCTGAGGCGGGATCTCCACCTTCAACCCCAACTTCTCAAGACGCGCCAAAACGTGGTCCCGCTTGTGCTTGAAGTGCTTCTGGAGAGCAAGCTTCTCTTGCTTTACATGTTCGGGGTTCAGAAGAGGGAGCGCAGCCAGCTGCAAGCTGTCACATTGATAAATTGGTTAGTATACACGGCGAAGGACGGAGAGCAGGGACGTACGGGTGGTTGGCACCTCCGTCCAGGAAAGAGCCGGATTGAGAGAGCGCGGTGATCAAGTTCTTGGGGCCGATCACCCAGCAGACACGCCAGCCAGGAAGACGCCAGTTCTACAGGTATGCAATCGTGGTCAGCTTCGGCTTGAGAGTTAATACTGCGAGTCAGTACCTTCGTGAGGCCGTCAACGATGACGATAGAGTCCTATCGGAAATCATTCAACCATGAGTACAGCGCAAAAGCATCAAATCAATCCAACAACAAGCTCACCTCGTTGACATCCTTAACAAACTCGGCCGACGAGACGCACTTGCCGAACTCCTCCTCTTTTTCAGGGTACAAGTACCAGGAATAGAACTACACCAGATCAACAACGCAAAAGCTAACAATAGCTTAGCGGCGTACCTCGTCAAGAATGAGGGTGGTGGTGGTGTCACGCGACAGCTGAACCAAGTCCTTGAGCTCTTCGCCTTGGATGACTTGACCGGTCGGGTTACGCGGGTTGGAGGCGAGGATGACTTGCAGACCTTGGGTCTTGATATCTTTCTGGAGATCGGAGAGCGCGATCAGGATGACGCCTTAAGGGTTGAAAAGATGGTGCTCACCTTGATCTGGTTCAAGTCCATCGCGTAGTTGTTCTACCCAACGTTATGATTAGCCTCTTTTACTCGAGTTCTCAGGGAATCATCTCTACCTCGACATCCAAACTACGCCAGAGAGAATCAGCGGACGGACTCGGAGTGGAGGACAATAGTGCGACTTACGAAGTGGGAACGGGGACCAGTCTGCGGAACGCGCCCAAAACTTGATCATACGCGGTGTAATCGGGGACTTGATACGACTGTGGATAAGGCTGTGAGTACTCATCACCCCCTTCTGACAGATATAACTACGCACCGTGTAGACATCACCAATCACAGCCGCTACACGCGACAGCCCAGAGCGTCCTCCGGGAACGATGCAGACGTTCTCAAAGGTGTACTGGCTCTCCTTGCCCTGCCTGTAGGTCAGATTATACAAGTTTGCGACGGCCTCCCGGAGCGCTACAAAAGTCAAGTCGGATCAGCGGACAGAAGCCGGAGAGAGTGACAGCTGCGAGAAGCAGCGGTGACGTAGTGGACGCACCCTTGACACCGGTGGTGGGGGCATACTCCAGCGAGTCGACCGGCAGCTCCACCGTCTTCGGGCGGGGCGGCGCGTCCGGGATGTCGCCGACTTCGGGCGCGCCTTGTCCGAGGTTGGCCCACTCGTGTGCGGCGGCGTAGGAGAACCCGTTGGCCATGGCGCGGTCGGAGCAGTAGATGACTCCCGTGCTGCCGGGGTGCACGATACCGGGGACGGTCTCCTCATCCTATGGGAAGAGATTGGTCGAAGAGAATGCAGTAGTACTTGAGAGAAAGACGTACAGGGTTTACAGTCTGAGGCAAGAGGCCTTTGGGATTGTGTCCAGCTTGCTCACGGAAGATCTGAGGTAACGCACGTATTAGTGAATTAGCGGAGACAGTACAATCGACAAACAACGTACTCGGTGAGCTTCTGACTCTTTCTCGTGCTTGTGGTTCTTCATGACGTCGTGGACCTGGTGAGCAATGACGTTCAGTATGTGTGCGCCAACGACTTTTGCGCGCTCCATGGTATGGTGGTCGGTGCCATGGTGAGCGTGCGGTGAATGAGGAGAGATGTGATGCGGATCGGAATGAGAATGCGAGCGAGACGAGTGGTGTGAGTGGTGAGGAAGAGAGTGCTCGAAGCCGCCAAAGAGACAGGACCATTGAGAAGGGTGTATATGGCAACTCACGATGTCTCTGAAGTGGTCGAGGGGAGTTGAGCGACCAGAGTTGGAGAAGGGAGTGGTGGACATCGTGCTTGGATGTGGCTCACCGTGTAAGCCGGGTTAAGTAGTGCGAAGGACAAGACGGACGGTGCGAGGAGAAGAGAAGACGGGGAATTGGAGGAAGAATGCGATGGAGGGGACACAACATATATCAGTCCACGATCAGGATGGGCGTTGGATTTCAGAGACTGCAGTGCAGCACAGATCACCGAATCAACGATTCAGAGCGCATCGGTCCTATTCTTAGACCCATCTGAGCCAATCATAGCACTGTCTCACCGCCCCCGTGTGTTGATCAAGAACACGTGACGCCTCTTCTTCAACGCGTGCCCGCGCGTCGTGGTCAACGTCCTGCGCAGATCAGTCTCCTCCGACCGGCCATCGAACGCATCATCCCAAAGGTCAATCGTCCCTGTAAAGGCAGACCCACTCGAAGATGCCTGATGCATTGCCATCGCCGTCGCCACTGCACCGAGCACAACTTCGCAGATCTGCAAGACCTCCGGACTCCAGAGTGAGCCTTGCAAAGCACCGAGACTCCGATTTTCGAAATGACGGCAACGAAACCAGACCCACAGGAACGCCACAAAGCAACAACTTGAACTTTGGAGTCGCAACCGAAGGAAAATCGCCTCTACAACGCGACAAGTTGCATCATCTCTGAGTCTAAATCGACCCTGCGAGCTATTTTAGCTGCAGACGAGACGACGAGCATCTTCTTTCTCTTCTCAATGGAAGAACAGCCTACCACGCAGCAAACAGATCAGCGTCGAGCAGAGGTCACGCGAGGGAAAAACGAAGAGACGTACCTCTCGCGAATGCGGTATTGCGTTGACGGTGATGACAACACCGAACCTCCTTGCAAAGGCGTGGCAGATATCGGCGAAATCGTCGCACTGGCATGTCGGCCGTGTACGCACGATGCACCGTTGGGCTGAGCGGCTCATGGGCGCAAAGCAGGCAGGAAGAAAGGGAGAAACAGGTGATCCGACGACCACCTCAGAGCGAGAAAGTGTAGACGACCGACGAGTGAGCACCATCTCTCGATGTCTAGATCTGGGTCACAGTGCCGGCTGTAAAAGCCTCCAACTCTGCTGGCTTCCAGCAAATGAAGCCCTCTGTGAGAAACGACGTAGACTGAAGCGTCGTACTCACAGAGAACCTTGGGGCATGCTGGAGGATTGTTGTCATGGTCGTGACGAAGGACGAGCTGCCAGCGTGGCATTGAGAGCAGTCCAGGCGTCGGCAACTATATCCACGTGGAAGATGCTCCCGCGATGCTTATTTGCCTATTTCCTCAGTACTGCCCCTTGTTCCTCGAACAATGAGCTCAATTCTGGACGCCGATGCAGGAGAGAACGATCTGCATGCAGGGACAACCGCTGTGGCGACGAGAGTCGGAAACCCTTCGCGAGAGGCTAGCGTCGTCGCGTCGTCCTGCTTTGTGAGTGCAGCAGCAAGCTCAAACTCATCTCTACAAACCACAGAGACACTTATGCTGCACAGATTCTACTATGGAAGACAAGACTCCGCAAGAGGAAGCAAACGCACCGGGTGCGGTGACCCGTCCAACATTGATAGTGGCCATAGCGTACGCGTGCTGGCAATTTGGCAAAGGAGAGAGTCCCCCTCGGGCGGACTGTTCCCCGCCGCTCCGGCCCTCCGACCTGTGGCCGGGCAATCAAACCGGGCAGGCCAGATCTGAGATGGGGGGTTCCGGAGTGAACTTCTGGATGTCGTTGGCATGGTAGTCAATCAGTGTGCTGGACCAGCGCTAGTGCTTCGAGGTATGTAAATTGTAAGTGCTC